AAACGAAATAATTATTTCAATTAAACGAATTAATTATTTCGTTTAAACGAATTAATTTTTTCGTCTATTTCGTTTAAACGAAATAATTAACCCATCTTTTTATTTCGTTTAAACGAAATAATTATTTCGTTTAAACGAATTAGTTATTTCGTTTAAACGAATTAATTATTTCATTTAAACGAAATAAACATAGGGTATTTCGTTAAAACGAAATAATTATTTCGTTAAAACGAATTAATTATTTCGTTAAACGAAATAATTATTTCGTTTAAACGAAATAATAATTTAATTCGTTTAAACGAAATAACATTTCGTTTTAACGAAATGATTAATTCGTTTAAACAAAATAATTAATTCGTTTAATGGAAATAATTATTTCGTTTAAACGAAATATTATTGCGTTTAAACGAAATAAACGAAATAATTAATTCGTTTAAACGAAATAATAAATAAATATGTTTACAATTGCGCCTTAGGGGCTCCGTATGATTCTGTATTTTCCACAGACAATTGTTCCAATAATGTTATTTCCGTAAATGTAGATTATAAGTATTATGAATTTCTTTTTTAGGTCCAAGAAGATTTATATGATAACTGTTATGATTTCTTTGATTTAGTTCATTGCATATTAGCATCACAATTATTGTAAACATAACTTTAACCCTGAGCCAGTGCCTTATATTGAATAGTAACTTGTTACTTTTCAATTAACCTAAACTATTTGTTGTCAATACTAATTCATTTACCTCAATTGATATTCATAAAAGTCAACAAGATAAAAAATTTATGATATTTTCATCAATAATTGAAACTGAAAATTTTGGTGGTATATATATCTATAGATGTGAGATAAAAATTAATATCGAAAAACCAAAATTTTCAATTCATCTAAATAAGATAAATGATTCAAAAGAACAAATATCGTTAGTAACTGTAGAAGTTTTTATTTTTAAACCTGATATAATTGTAACAGATCATGGAAAAATGAAACATAGACAACTTACTGGGTTACCTGTTTTAGATATTAAACAATTTCCATCTTTTGCTTAAAAATTAAAAGTAGTAGACAAAACTAAATGATAGAAAAACAAAATAAACTAAAAGGAAAACTAAAACACTGCAACACATGCAGGAAAACATGGAGTAGAATTGATTCTGTTTTCAAAACATTAAGCACAATTCTAACAGTAGGAGTAACAGTGGCAACAGCCGTAACTGGTGGATTAATGCTTTCAGTAATTGTCCCAACTGTATTAGCCGCGTTCACTGCTGTTCAAACATCATCTTGTGGATTGATAACATTGGGTTATACACCAAAACAGAAATATCATTATAAAAAGAAAACAGAAATTTTAAATACATATCTTAATAAATTATTTATATTTTTCGAAAGATCAAGAGAAGATAAGAACATAACCATTGAAAAATTAGAAGAATTCAATTAAATTTAAGATGAATTTGATCTAGAAATATCATAAATAAAAGTCAAAAATTCCTAGTTAAAAAATAGATACTTACAAATATGAATATTATTGAAGTTTTAGACGATGAAACATTGATATCAAATGTGCTATTTTCCAATGTTATTAAGACTATCTCTGACAAATTTTCAACATTTAAAGGACAAATTGAATTAGATGGAAAGATAATGCAAGATGGAGAACACAAACATAACATGGAATTCGTAGGCTTTAATGCCACTACTCATCGCAATTTCTTCCCAACATTGGATGTAAAATCAGATGCTTCTGATTGGCATTTCACAGGAAATATCGTTTTACGTTAAGATAAAAAAGAGTTTCAAGATTTCATCAACAGTTTTCAAAAATCAAACAGAAAAGGAATTATGACAACTGCTAGAATCAGTGAATTCAATAAGAAATTTAATACTTATTTTCAAATTTTTATGCCGCAAAATAGACATTTTCAACCAAAGAGAGTACTCGAGGAATTAGATTGGGTATTTTACTTACATAAATCACATTTCTGTCTCACAAGAAGAAATAACAAAACCTTAGGCATTAAAGAAATAGAAGATAATTACGATGAAAATATATGGAGAACTTGTATAGATGATAATGCAGTAACACAAGTTTCACCTCTAAAACTAAATGTTTTTCCAACAATTCATGATGATTGTTTATGCGCACGGGATTGCGAAACTTATAGCGAAAAAGAAACGAATAAAGTAATTCCTTATTCTTGCACGTTAATTAATTTAGAAAAACTAAGAAAAATGTTAGACAGAATAAAACATAACTTTCCAGATTTAAATCCCACTGATAGTGTTCCAGAAGAATTTTATAATAAATTAATGAATACAGTAGAAATATTTGTGGGTAAAGATTGCATCGATCAAATGTTAAAGCGTTTAGGAAAAGTAGATCAAAAAAGATTAAAATTAATTTCTCATAACGGTAGAGGTTTTGATAACTGAATTGTGCTTAAAAATGCAAACTAACACAATGTCCACTAGTGACAGCTAGAGGCATTGTATCTCTACCTTTAACTAATACATTCACCGATGAATATTTACAGAAAAAATGGAAAAGACAAAAACAAATAATTGGCAACTCTAATTATCTGCAAAATATTAATTTCATATGTTCCTATCAACATGAAAAATCCAATTTGGCGGCACGGGGAAATTCATCTAATCTTCAAATGAATTTGAGAAAGATCACTGATATCAATATTGCAAAATACACCGAAGATAATTGGGAATCTTTAAGACGCGAATGGGAACCTTATATACGTTATGTCTTGGAGCTTGTTTGATAAAATATAACAAAGTTATGAACGAAGTTGTATTCCAGAATATTTCCAAAAATCTAGCGGCTCCTTCTTTATCTTTAAAGGGTTGGTATTATTTGTATAATTACCATAGAGAAGAGTGGTATGAAACTACTAGAATGGTTCCAAAACACACTAAAAAAGAAAATATAGAAAAAGTTTACTCACATACACACCCTTTTATATATATTTTATAGATATTTTATAAGACAATCCATTAAAGGAGGAAGAGTTTCTACTAACAGAAAATAAATTGAAACGAATGAAAAGAAATTTGTAATGTATTAAAGGAATATACAGAACTATAGAGTAGTAATATAATTGATTTATTTAAATAACATAGTAAAAGTAATAAAGATAAAACGGAAGTAAATTCAAAACTTACAAAAAAATAAACCGTTTCTACCAGAACAAAATAAAGAATTTGTTAAGCTCTTAAATGAGCATAAATTCAGACCTAGAATGGCAATTTTAAAAGTCTGGTTTGAATATCCCACTAACACATTCTTCCAACCAATACCAGCTAAAAATAAAATTACTTTTACGAACAAAGAAGGTAATAAGGAAACTGGTACTAAAATCAGGTTTAGAAATTATTCGAATATTAGATGGTATACCATATGAAGAAAATTTTAAAACTCCACCATATAGAGATTATATTTTAATTTTTAGAGATCTAAGAAATCAATATAAACGAGAAGGTAATATTGTGGGTAGTAATTGCATGAAATTATTAAGTAATTCCTTGTATGTTAAATCTATTCAGAAGGATATAACTACATCGAGACATCTATGGAGTGAAGCAACTTTAAAAGCCAACTCCGATTCACATGTCAAAAGCTATCCTACAGTAAATGAGACTCAATATATCGTTGAGATAAATTTAGAAGAAAAAGAATTTGACTGTACACCTCCTAAATCTACACGACTAACACCTAGTCATTTGGGGTCATTCGTATTATCTCACAGTAAAAAAATAATGAATAATTTCATTCACGTAATAGATGGATTTTATAAGCCGGAAATACACTATACAGATACTGATAGTTTATACATTTCATCTAGCAATTGGGATAAATTAAATGAAGCTGGGTTGGTATCTGAAAATGATTACTGTAAAGGAAAGAATGATTACGGTGATGGTGGAATTATATATGGTTTATACTTAGCGCCAAAAGTCAAATATAATATCATTCTAACTTCTGACGGTATTCTAAAAGAAAAGAAAACGTTTAAGAGTTACTCTAATGATAAGATAGGCGTAGAAGATTATATTCAATTATCTAGCGGACATTATGTGAGGAGTGAATTTAACAAAAGATGGGAAAAGAGTTTCACCAATGGAATAGTTATTCCAAAGGATGATGATAAACAAAAGAAAGATTTTAGAAGTTATTTGAATCTCGTTAAGAGAAAAGCACCGCACGATGAAGGAATTATGTATCCTTACAACGACGGAAAAGAATTGAACATGGATGACAAGTATGAATTTGATGATTTCGATTTCCTAACTATTCAAGAAGAGAATGGAGATTTAGTTCTTTTGTTTTAAATGAAGTTGAATAACAATTTCGTCATTTCCAAAATCTATAAACCTATTTTTACTATCTTTGATTTCCAGATTTATATCTTTAATCATAAAGGAATTAAGTGGTAAATTGAAATGGTTTCTCTATAATTCTATATACAGTGAATGTTGGAATGCTGTAGATAATCTGACGTTTGTATTTGTTGAAAAATCCACCGTTTATCAAACTGCAGTGAATATTTATTACATCGATATCATTCTCGATATTAGCTTTGTGTGGTGCTAATGTTGATTCTTTATGAAAAAAATTTTTATTAAAGCCTAGTAAAGTATTTAATGAATTTTCCACATTGAAATCAATTTGACTCTTATTTCTCAATATCAATTTTATTTTGTTCAGATTTAAATTACCTTCGAATTCAACATTGTTTTTACCATTTATACTTCCTCCATATTCAGATAGGTAATCGTTAATGGCTAAGTATTCATAGCTTCCTGGTAATAAACTTATGGTTTTGAATGTAACTCCATTATCTGTTGATATTTTTATTTAGTTATTATTTTCGTAGATATTTCTAATGGAATAGTAAACAGAGAAATACTTTAATCCCAATTCATATTCTTGATTGCGATCGAGTTCATACTCGTAATCTAGAGACAATTTAATGTCTAATTTATTTTAGGTGATAACGAATAGTTGTTCTTTATTGTACATTTTTAATCACGCTTTTATAATCATTTTTATCTATAACACCTTTCTCGAGAAATCTTTTTAATTTACAATTTACTTCATTATATTGTCTGTGTGATTGATGACCTTCCTTCATTGCCGCTAATATTATTTGTAATCTATTAAGTAATTCCTCGTTGTTGTCGGATAAAAACGTTATACCTTGTCCAGATACCATATCTTCGAATTCGTCTATTTCTTGTATGATTGAAATGTCTTCAGCATAATCATCTGTTTCGTCAACTTCATATTCATCATCTGATTCCTCATCTTCATTTTCATCACCAATAACTTTTATTTATATATGTTTTAACTTCTTTCGATATATTTGTTTCGGGTCCCGCTTTCTAATTGCATGTATAAATTTTGAGTATGCTACTAAATCGGCAATGCCAACATCTTCGCCATTCATTAAATCTATAAATCCTTTTGTTAATGTAAATATAAAGTCTTTTGTATCGATTTTGAATAAAATGTAATGTGACTTAATTTTTATTCTAAATCCATTAAACAATAACCCCTCATCATCAATGATTGGTGTAATACTCTTTGGTAAATCTGGGTCAGGGTTTAAAAAAGACGATTTATATCATCAAATGTCCCAATTATAATACGAACATATTCATTCGGTTCGGGGTGATCTTTGTGAGTCGTGCGTTCTATACGAGGCGTGGGTCTATATTTCCTTTTAATATCCTCTTGAGTTTTTAATATTGGTTGAAATAGAGTTTGTAGATTTTCTGTTAATTCAAGTTGTTGTAATTTATTATTTTCAACATAGGTCTTTATTTTATTCTTAGCTTTGATATATTCTCTATTTCTTCATAAAATATTATTTCAATAGCTATTCATTTTTAAAAAAAAAAAATAAACATATGTCGATCATAACTCTTTCACCTGCGGGTTTTCTAGTATTAACAAATATATATCCATGTTCATCTGGGTTTCTCCATTGAGTTTTACAACCCTTTTTAAATGTATCTCTGTCCATTTCGTGATTTATCGACTGAATGATTTGAGATAAATCTTTGTCGTTTAATTCAAATAATAAAAAAACAATTTGCATTTTTTCCAATAAACATAGAATACATTCCGTAAAAAGATTGGGATTGGTATATGCAGTGACAGTTGTGATGTCTTCCTTTCGTGAAGGATTCTTGTTGAACAGCTTGATTTCTGTGTGCTACACAGTCGTCAAACAATATTAAGTTCTTTCGTTCACTATCAATTTTAGACAAATCTAAATCATTAACATTTTTCGTAACAAAAACTTTTATATCCGTTGGATTGAAAGATGGAATCTTCTTCGTTGTCTTCATAATATTGAAATATGTCTTGAACATCTTTCTTTGGTAAATATTCTAAAGCATTGAGGAATTGGTAATACTATTGCTCTGGTGTTGTTGTGTAGATATACAGAGAATCGAAATCTAAAAGGATTGGTGTTGTCAACATGTTAAAAGTGAGATAAGTTTCCCCAGAACCTGAACTACACATGCGCATTGGGTTACTAGGAAATATTTCTGAATGTTTGAATTTCTTTCCCATTTTTTATTCTATATGTTTGTTCCAAAAATCACTCCTTCTCTTTTATACTATGAAAGAAATAATCTTTCTCCAGTGTGTTTTTTTTTTAAAAAAAAAACTATAGCATTACCCTTATGTTTAACTTTCATTTCTCCTGTGTCAATATTATCTACTAATTTATTTAATCCTTGTTTAACAGTTTTCTTGGTTTCGTCCCCAAATCGTTTTCCGAATTCTTTTATTGTACTTTCAGAGGTTTTTGTTTTAGTTTTACATAATAAAGTTTTGAAACGTCACCCACTGTGTGGTCATTCATTAGCCTTGACCCCCACCCGATAACAGTACGAAAGGTAAAAATCCACCTTCCTTTGCATTCGCGTCAATTCTTTCTAAGTCTATATCGTCTCTGACTTTACAATATTTGTATTTATCAATAAGTTTTCTAGTTATGCTGATTTTTTACCATTGAAAGTTATTACAGCTGGGGAAGCTGTTTCTATAGCTTCTATAATTTTCTTGACTAAAGTTTCTGGTTTCATTTTTAAGGGTGTTTTTTTTACTCAATCCTTATCATTCTTCTATCTGCTATTTTAATTAAATGTTTTGCTTCTTCCAATAATAAACACTTATATTTACTCCTGTTTTGAAAAGATCTTCTTGGTGAGCTGATAGATCAAAACAGAAGATTGGGTGAAAAATCTACATATTCAAACTGAGGCGGGTTTCCAAATAATTCACACTTATTTTTATAGTTTCTATACAATTCATCATAATCCTTTGTGGATGGATTAATTGTTAAAGGTTGGTTAGGATAATTATCATTGTTTAATCTTACTTGAACTTTATGGATTATAGGATCTTGGTTTTGATTCAATGTCACTCTAAAGACATTATTGTTATTCGTCTGAGAGTTTGATAAGTTCTTGAAACCAACCATTTAACCGTTTAATAATATTGGTGATGGGCCAAGCATTGGATTCTCCAGCTAAAGTCATGCTACCTACTGTGTTACGACGAAGAAAAGCTATTTCAATATCTTTAGTCAACATGTTGAATATTCTCGTTTCTACTTCAATTGATGGTGTTATGACGGGTATGTAAAGTTGGAGATTCGTTATTTTTAATTTTGCATGTGAAGCATTCTCTCCAAAGAATATCTTATCATCATTGATTTCTCTTTGTAGAGGAATTTTATATGGTAATCCTATGGAAACCTTTCTGCGTTCCAACAGACCGAAAAATGGATATAACAATTTACGTAATTACCCCAACTATTATTATCAACGGAATTGTTGTACTGAAGTACTCGTTTTTCGAATCCATGGTTAACTGCTCGCCCAACTCTTCAGTTGCAAGATTTCTTACCGGTTCTTTTAAAACACTCCCATCACCAACATCGGGTGAATCGTAATTTTTTTGGATATAAAACTGTTTTCAACATTGTGTCAAATTCCCCAGGGTGTTTAATGGTTTCTATAGGATTTGAACCAGCTTCCAAAACCATCTCGCTAAATAAGATGGAAAGAAATTGTTTTCTAACGTTGTGTATTTGTTTGTGGTACACGATTGTAATTGGGAGTTCCATATTTTATTTCGAAATCGCATCTGAAATAAGCATCGGAAAGAAGCAACCAATTCCACAATGAATTAATTTCGAAGGTAATTCTACCACCATCATTCAACTGGGATTAAGAACCAACAGTCGGTGAGATGATAATATAATCCTCTTTTTTCTTGTTAAATGAGTAACGAATCGGATCGTATAATTTAAAGATTGGATCAAGTATGTAATTTTTATTTGCCATTTTTAAGGTTTAATATTGTGGTCTGTTTTTTAAACAAGAAACGTGATGAAATGTAGGGTGAATAGGTCTTTTTGGGAGTGTAAATCGATGGAATGTAGGGTTTATAGGTCTTTTTTGGGGGGTATTAGATTGGATGCATTTTTCCCCATGGAATGAAATGGAATATTCTACCAATGAGGTGTCACTGATACTGAGACGCGCTAGAAATGTGTTAGTGTAAGTTAATATGTTGCTTTTGTGAAATTCTAATGATGGTATTGACGCTTGTGATTTTGCAAGGGTTATTGCCATACATTAGTGAGTTAGTCCTTGGGATAAGAACCATACCTCAGTTGGCATTTTGTCTGGATAAGTAAAATGAGTCAATTAGATCGCACTCCATATAAAATCTTGCTTGCTCTACCCACTTGATAACTATCTATTTCCCCTTATACTTACATGCAAACAAAATTAATGTTCATCAAAATGTTCATTTAAATGTTAATTTAAAAAGATTAGTTATCTAAAAAAAAATATGAAAAAGCTGTAAGTAGCATACTATCCGTAGTTAATAAAGTTGTGTTATGATATGGCACGATCTGATCTATTTCAATTAATACAACTTGAAAAATATCCAAGCTAAACCACATAGTTCAACACTTGATCGCTATATGATATGTGTTCTAATCTTATTTTGACAAAACTAACTATTACAACATGATCTTAGAGATCGTACGATTGATTACACGAGTAAGACATCTTTTCTCAATTGGCCATTCGACCCAGCACCAGCGCCAGTCAGTAATAAAGGGAAAACTCTTCAAAAAAGAGAACTTGTATTGTAAGAATAGTGGTTTTTACAAGGACAAAGAAGACCGGTAATTCATTTTCCATCTGTTTCCATGTTAAATCAGGCACTTCAACCTTCTATAACCTTTTCCAGATATCTCGTTGAAAACTTTCCAATATGTAAAATGAAAACCTGGCCAATGCTGAGTTTCTGGACAAAAATTCAATATTTCATGACCATAGAGATCTTAAGCTAGTCAAACTGAAAGTAGACCACTACATTTTATCAATATCCGCTTGACTGTCACTGCACACAAAACGACTATTTTTTAGAATCTGTAATCATCTCACAAAATCTGAAAGAAAATGCAATTTCAGACATCAAAATCTACACGAAAGATTAGTCAAAAATATGCATGCAAAAGCCCCAAAAGGGAGGAAGAAAGAGGACTACATTCGGTTTTAGTGGTCCATTTTGAATAGTTCAGGCTAATACATAACTACCATGAAATGGCAGAGGGATAATCACAGAAATTTCCTCAGCAAGTTCTTTATTATGGTAAGAAATTTATACTTATATATGAATCTAAAATATATAGTTTTTAAGACTCATCTCAACTATTCACCAAGCTTTGAAACTGTGTGACGACCTCATACAACCGAACGCTACTTTTAGTTTAAAAAAAGATAGCTTGCCAGGCAAGGTAACATACGCCCACTGGCAGCTGTGAGAAATGATAAAACAGTCTTTAGTGACATTTGAATAGTTGGAACTCAATGATACATATATTTATGCTGAGAAATTCCACCAAATTTTTAAAAATCAATATCAATAACCCAAATACATCAAATTATCGCACCAATATACATGATCACACCATCAGTTGAGAACTGTAGTCTCTATTGTGTTCATAAACAAATTTTTACGCGTTTTCTTAAGTCAATGGCAATAACTAAAAAAACATTCATCGATATATCAATTTCTAACTTGTCCAAGATCTCATCAATACAAATGATCACACCAAATTTCATTAAATCAGTTGAAAACTGTAGTCTCTAATGTGTTCACAAACAAATTTTGACGCGTTTTTTCCTGAGTCAGTGGCAATAACTCAAAAACCGCTCATCGAAATATAATCAAATTCGAACTTGTCCAATATCTCATCAATATATATGATCACATCAAATTTCATTAAAATCAGTTGAAACTGTAGTCTCTATTGAGTTCACAATCAAATTTTGACACGTTTTTACTAAGTCAATGGCAATAACTAAAAAAACGTTCATCGAAAGATCGTCAAATTTGAACTTGACCAAGATCTCATCAATATAAATGATCACACCAAATTTCATTAAAATCAGTTTAAAACTGTAGTCTCTGTTGTGTTCACAAACAAATTTTGACGCGTTTTCCTAAGTCAAGGGAAATAACTCAAAAACCGTTCATCGAAAAATCGTTAAATTCGAACTTAACCAAGATCTCATCAATATAAATGATCACACCAAATTTCATTAAAATCATTTGAAAACTGTAGTCGCTATTACGTTCACAAGAAATGTTGAAGGACCGACGGACAGGGGCGACGGCAATATACGTCCACATTTCCATGTGGGCGTATAAAAACCCAGATAGTAAGCCCCTGCCTAACGTGATGTTGCTATATGATTCCAGTAAGTTCTTCTTAATATTCATTCCTAACATCATCTTTCAGCAGGTAAAATATCAGAAGTTGGTTGGTCCACTGTGGTTTTTCTATTCCAAAATAATGGACGTGTTCTGAATAGGGTTTCACGACTCTCTAAATTGAGGCCTACAGGCTAAGGTTGATAATTAAACATACCACACGAATCAAACCGGCCTTTTTGAAGTAACGGTTGTGAATAAGTTGTA